ACAAATATAATCATTGGGCTGCATTCAGTAACTACCCTTCTGGCCTCAAATCTGCAGCACTGGTAAGTTAATACAGAAATGTGATGAGATACCAATTTGAAATGATAGAAGTGAGAACAAATTAGAGCTGACTTCCTGCTGCTTGGGCATTTTCAGGAGTTATTTATAAGGAAACCAATAGCTATCAGTTGCCTTGTATTATGTTTCCTTGTTAATAGAATGATTCAACTGTGAGTAATAAGCATATTCTGAGGGTCAATGTTTCATTAGAGTAAAACATAGCACCAGTGTCAACTCATGCACATTCTACAAAATAAGACCATTAAACCCCATTTCATTAGCATCTTTGTCATCAGTAGATGACCCATACATATTCTTCCATGCGTTTATCATTAGTATTTCTATTTATTGATACGTCTTCCTGAGAAAAACCCTGGTGACTTTAGATTCTGAAATCATTTTGCCGTGTTTCAGTGTACAGTCTCTTGGGTAGATATCATATTTATCTCTTACCTACTTTACTAAGTATTATTGATTTCCAATTCTCAGATGATTCACCAAACCAAAGCTACGGTATATAACAATTGCTGAATTTTAAATATTAACAAAGTAATGTAGACTACCTTAGCATATATGCTGAAATTTCCTGAATTAATTCTATTCTTACAGATTATCCAAATTTCCCAAACTACATAGCTTTTCAGTACTCAATCTTATTTTCCTAAATACACTATACAGACTGTAAACACGCACACATACACACACACACACACACACACACACACACACACACACACACACACACTTTCTGATTCTGTTAACCAAATCAAAATGAAACTATATTTATCATGATAACATAATAATTAATGAATGTCAGGCAAGTAGTTTCATTCAATTAAATTACTAAAATAACACAAAGTTGCAAAAGTATTTCTGGCAAGTTTGTGGAAATATGTTAAATGAGGCATACAATTCCATTACACTACCATACCTATTTCCTGAGGCTTCCTGTAGGAATCAGTCTCATTTGCTCACTCAAGGGCTCTCCCAAAATTCAAGCTATGAGATAAGTAGTTTGGAACTAAAAATAAAGCAATAAAGGAAATCACCTGGATCCCCAGAGCCTGCAAAATAGAGACCTTGGGGATAGTTTCTCTTTAGTAGGTATCTAGCCTTTCCCAGGCTCCTAACTCTTCAGATGATACACCAACATTGTTATGGTGAAAAGAAAAAGTTAAACAGAGAACTGGCCAAATGCAATCCAGATAACTGGCCAATAAGGTCAGAGAACATTATTCCTGATTGAAAATTGTCTTCCTATGGGCTTAAATCATCCTAATTCATTTACACAAGTGTCTGGAAATTAAATAAACCAAAGGGTTTCTGAAATTAGCTAAGTTCTTATGATGCTTGCTAGGCAAACAGGAGGTCCTCAGTTCAGATCCCCAGATCCCAGATAAAAAGGCCAAGCATGGAGGAATAGGCTTTAAACCAAGAGCTGGGAGAGGCAAAGACAGAGTCCTAGGACTCATAGATCAGCTAGGGTAGCCCAACTCACATGCACCAGATCAAAATAGAGGCCCTCTAAAATAGAGATGGGTGGATCTTGAGCAGCAACACCAGGGTTGTGCTTTGCATGCTCCATCACATCTCTACATGCATGCACACACAAATAGCAATTAAACAAATAAATCATTCTAAAAAATCAGAGAAAACCTAATCTTTTTGTAGAAATTGCATGGGCAACATAACCTCAAGTGTGATTTTCAAAATCTCAAGTATATATCTACCCAGTCTACCTAATGGTCCTCAGTCCCCTAACCTCTCAGAGGGAAAAAAACAGCTTGGAAAAGCCCTTGAAAACCCATTCTGGATATTTCCTCAATATGTCCATCACAGTGCAGAAACTTCCAGAGAGCAGATCCTGCGATCACAGGAAGGTGATAAAGGAGAGTGATACCAGGAAGGAGAACCAGGGAAGCTTGATATGGTGTCATAAGCTTAGCCCTCTGCATCCTGAGTTACTCTGAACCCACAGGTGCATCAGGGCTGCTCAGAATCAGAATGGTGTAAAGAACAGAATAAGGTGCAGACAGACACACAGTGGGAAGACAAGCGTGACTGAAGAAGAGGGGGCAACAAAGCTGCTTCTTCGATGTTTTAAGTGTCAGCTTTTCTCCTCTTCCTCTTCCTCCTCTTCCTTCTCCTCTTCCCCTTCCTCCACTTCTTCCTTCTTCTTTTCCTCCTCCGGTTCGTTGTCTTTCTAATCCCACTAAGATGTAGTATCTTATGTAACATGAACTTGTTAGTTATTATTATGTTCAGTTTGCATGAACTTGTTAGTTATTATTATGTTCGGTTTGATTTTGATTAGGTTGACTGGCCAAGAAGCCCCAGCGGGACATCCCTACCTACCCAGCACCTTGGTTAAAAGGTGAATACAGCACCTCCTGGTGTTTATGCATGCACTCGAACCCAGTCTTGAGTTCTTGCATTGATAGAGTAAGCACTGTTACCCACCCGCCCCCATCCCTGAATACATCATTTTGTTCCAGTTATCATCTAAGGCAAATCTTAGGTTCACGGATCAACAACATCTCTCCCTACATTATAAACATCTATCCTTCTACCCACAAATAAGTTTAGTCTTCATCTCTGAACACGGAAACTTCTCTTTGCAACAAAATGGAGACCCTACAGAAACCCACAACCAATCAAAATGCAGGATTGTGAAGCCCAGTGCCAGCCAATATATCTACAACACAATTCCTGCACCTAAGGCTGCGGGATCATTGCATACGAGATAACAAAAAGATTTTAAGAGCCAGAAAATCAGGGAGTTTTATCTGAGATTGTGTCTGCAGGTAATGCCAGAAACTATATCCATATAGTCTTACCAACATGACCATCTAAACATGAGCTGAACAAGAACATTAAGCATGCTAATGTGGATAGGCAAAGCTCAAGAGACTTCAACCTTACATAAAATCTATAGCAACAAGGAGATGCTGAGAGCTGAATAGCCTTCCCCAGGGATGAGCACATCAATTGGTTACTCAATAAGGAATGGTCATCCCTGAACATGTATAAGTAATGTTATACAGATTGAGAAGGTTATATATCAACAATCAATGAAAATACATACTGTGAATCAGAAAGAGAATAATGATGGGTATATGGGAGTGTTTGAAGGGAGGAAATGTGAGAGGAAATTATACAATTATATTAAAAAAATTAAAAAGAAAAGACCAAAACAAACAGACAAGAAAAATAGCCTATAGCAAGAGCTACATCTTGCAGTAGGTGCTCTGCAGCATCATGTTTGTTAGAAATCTTTAGTGGTTTTCATAGGAAACAGTTCATGTAAAAACCATTGACTTTCAACCCTTAAAAAAAAGAGTCTTTATACAAAGTACTGCACACGCCAATAGTAAATGCAGCCTAAGGACAAGAACAAACTAAACTATTATGTTGTGAAATGACAAATGGTAGGAGATCATATTCTTAATTTTAAATTATTGCCTGGTAGCAGAGAAATATAAGCCAGTCACATTACTAATAAAGCATTCACTTATTTGGATAAGTAACCACAAATCATATATCTTCTTGTTTATAAACGCTATTTGTATTAAATCCATAAAAATACCTAAGTCAATGAGTTGGTAATGCCAGGTCACCTTCAAAGTAAAAGAAAAAAATCTACCTAAATCAGAAAGATATTTAGGATGTATTATGTGCCTAGAGCACCAAATCTTCTATCTCAAAAAAAGTTATGACATTTGAAGCTTTGGTTCCAGGAAAGGACCATTAAAATTTCAGTCTATCTTATCTTTATTTAATTATAGAAATCAAGTTTTTAAAAAGACCAGCACTGTCCTTTTGACCTGCATTTCATTACACCAATCCAATTCTGAACTAATTGAATTTCTTCTTCAATGTTCTTAATTTGTGAAATTGAAGACAATTCATGAGCCACAGAAATACTTTCTGTCTTTTGCTAAAAAGCAGTGACCTTATATATTACTTCTAACTACTACTTTCCTGCCACAAATACAAGTCGGACAGCTTCACCTGGTACAACTTAGTGGTATTTAGGAATAAGTCATGAGACTCTATGGAGATGTACTCTCTGATCTACTGTATTTATTTCTACCAGTATTCATAACATCATTTGTGGTATCCTCTCTTAATTAGAGAGAGTTAATGATTAACACTGGCCAATTTGCATCCAATTACAATCATTGAAAAATTGCAGGAGAATGAAAGACTGAGTAAAATTAATCATTCAGCAATGGATACTACCAGGAGTAACTGTAAAGATGAAACACTGGATAGTTTCAAAATCAGTCAAAGGAAAAGGTCCTGGATGGAATTACATTATAGATACTATTATAGCTGGCCTGACTAATACAAAGTGATAATCTCATTACAGCTGTGATCTGCATCTCCCTGGTCTAACTGCTTGTCTATTGTCTTTGCATAAATATCATACCCAAGGGTTTTCATGTTTTGAAATTGGTGTATGTGCTCTATATTCTTAGTGAGTGAGAATTTTTCACATGTTCCAGATACGACTCACTAACAGACAAATGTTTTCTGCTATTTTGCCACTTGAAATTCTAATTCTGCATAATGGCCTTTGAAGTATGAACTTAGAATTTTCAGAATGTTTCTGTGTTGGATCTTAAGTCATTAAAAAATATGCCTTAGACCAGGGATTCTCAATCTATGGATGGTGACCCCTTTGGGGGTCATATATTAGATATTCATAATATGATTCTTAACAGTAGCAAAATTTTAGTTATAAGAAGCAACAAAATAATTTTATGATTGGAGGTCACCACGAAATGAGGAACTGTATTGAAGGGTCACAGCATTAGGAAGGTTGAGAACCACTTCTTAGACAATGTCATGCGCGAATCCTTTTAAGAATTTTCTAAGTTTTGCTATATTGTACAATTTTTGGTTGACATTTTTATTAAATCATCAAATGACGCTTGTTAATGTGTAATGTTTACATTAAACATATGAACTCCATGATTTGTTATTCAAGTTCAGCAGTTGTTCCTTATCATTTACCATTGAGTTCCTCAACTGCCATCTTCAACTTCTCTTCCTTCTTGACCATCATCCAAAACTCTCTTTATAACGATTGATCCGACTTTAACTGTTTATCCCTCTACGTCAAATGATATTGAAGAGAGGGAAGTGGGACACCCATGACATAGTGACCTCAATGAAGTAAATCCTGCATCAAATGAAAAAGATCTGCCTCCAGAAGCTGGACATCCACAGAAAGCTGAGAACAACCAGCCAGTATCTGTAGCTGAAGTTTTTTCCAGTCCTGCCTGGCCCATGGTCAGGACAAATCTCTCTCATCTGCCCGTCCTGTAGCCACTCAGACTCAATCAAGTAAACACACAGAGACTTATATTACTTATAAACTGTAAGTGTTATGGATATCCTTCTGTATAAATAAAATGCTAATTGGCCAGTAGCCAGACAGAAAATATAGGTGGGACAAACAAAACAAAATTCTAAAAACAAAAAGGCCTGAGTCAAGAGCGCTGCCACCTGCTGCCATGAATACCAACATGTAAGATAATGAAGCCACGAGCCATGTGACAAGGTATAGATTTATAGAATGGGTTAATTTAAAATATAAATAAAGGTTAACAAGAAGCCTGCCACAGCCATACAGTTTTTAAATAAGTCTCTATATGTTTACTTGGTTGGGTCTGAGTGGCTGCGGGACTTGCAGGTGAGAGAGATTTGTCCTGACCATGGGCCAGGCAGGAATGGAGAAAACTTCAGCTACAAGCATCTTGGCTTTTGCTTCTTCGGGGACAAAAAGTTTATCAAACTGATCTTTGTAAAAGACCAACTTCATAGATGTTAAATGGAGAAAAAAAGCTGGCATCAAACTCACAGAGAACAGATTTCTGAGACTAAAGGCATGCAACACTAGCTCTAAAGACTTCAATGTGAAACCCAAAACACTGAAAGTGCTAGAAGAAAATATACACAGTACCCCACAAGACCTAGACCTTGACAAACACTTCCTGACTAGGACTTCATCTACCCAGGAATTAGAGCCAGCAAGTGACAAATGGATCTTTACAAAACTAAAAACCCTCTGTATAGCTAAGGAAACAATTAAGTAAAGAGCAAGCTCACAGAGTGGGGGAGGATCTTTGCGAGCTATGCATCTGATAGAAGATTAATATATGGAATATATAAAGAACTTTAAAAAAAAACAGATTCATGAAAATATAAACCCAATTAAAAAACAGGCTAAGCATCCTGTGGTGGTTTGAATAAGAATGGCCCCCACAGGCTTGGATGTTTAAATACTTGGCCATCCTTGGTCCTCGTTTGGTGGCACTGCTTGGGTGAGTTTCTTTCCCTATAATTACCAAACATTTGAAAGGCTAAGGAGGTGGTGAGATGGCTCAGCTGGTAAATGCCTCTGCCATCAAACCTGATGACATGAAGCTGAGGCCTGAGACAGGCTCACTGGGTTGAAACAGAGAGCTGACTCCTTCAAGATGTCCTCTTCCCATTCAATCTGTGCCATACATGTTCCCCACCAACATATCTCTCTCTCTCTCCTCTCCTCTCTCTCTCTCTCTCTCTCTCTCTCTCTCTCTCTCTCTCTCTCTCTCTCTCTCACACACACACACACACACACACATACACAGAGAGAGACAGAGACAGAGACAGACAGACAGCAGACAGAGAGAGAGAGAAAGCAAATAATTTGTTCAAAAAAGAAAGGCTAAGGAGCCTGCGTGACACCGACCTAGGCCCATTCCCTTCTACATATGTGTGACAGTTGTGTAGCTTGATCTACTTGTAGGACTCCTAGTAGTGGGATCAGGGCCTGTCCCTAGTGCTTTGGCTGGCTCTTAGGAACCTATTCCTCATACTGGGTTGCCTTGCCCAGCCTTAATACAAGGGGAGGAGCTCAGTCCTACCTCTATTTGATATGCCATGCTTTGTAGACACCCATGGGAGGCCGCCCCTTTCTGAACAGAAACAGAGGAGTGGATTGTAGGGGTTAGGGGAGGAAATGGGAAGAGAAGAAGGATGAGAAACTGTGGTTGAGATATAAAATAAATGAATAAATTTAATTAATAGTAAAAGAAAGGCTAGGAAATACTGTTGGGGGAAGCACCATATATGTAATTAAAAAAAAAATATATGTGGCCAGGCGGTGGTGGCGCTCGCCTTTAATGCCAACACTCAGGAGGCAGAGGCAGGTGGAACTCTGTGAGTTTGAGGCCAGCCTGGGCTACAGAGTGAGTTCCAGGACAGGCTCCAAAGCTACACAAATAAACCCTGTCTCAAAAAACCAAATAAAATAAAACAAAAAATAAAAAAAATATGTGTATTCAAGTATCACAAAAAAATGATATGCCATTTTAGAAACTGAGTCACTTTCATAAAATTAATTGAATTTTCTATGCTGGAAGAATAAAGGATGTCACCTAAACACTACCCAAATATTTAGTCAAGCCCATGAGGAAGTAGTAATGGGCACCAAATACATTTTGATGAATGAGTAACCCAATATTTACCTCTAGAGTATAATGCTGCTTGCAGAACTTGCCTTGTATAGATCTTCCAGTTCTCAGTTGAATATTGTTAATGTTTTTAAATATTTGTAATCTTAGTCTTTGAATTAGAAGTCTAATAAACAAAGGGTTAGAAAGCTACAGATAATTAAACTATATTAATTCTTTATCAGGAACCAAACATGATAGATTTATTAGCAATACACTTGTTGGTCTTCCCTTACCAAATAAACTAAACACAACACAAGGTTCAAGCTATTTACATAAAAAAAGATTAAGTTTTATTGTGATTACTAAGTCAATTAATTTACTTTTAGTAATAATGTGTAAGTAAACTAACAGAGTTTAAAAGTGCCCCCTTATGAAACCAGATAGAATAAGAACAAAATGAAAAATACGGTGATATCCTATAACAATAAAATTTTAATAGCAACATAAAATGATACTTATGAAAATGCAATATAAATCGTTAAGCAGGGTATAATTACACCGATTAGAGAAGACTGGAATATTATTTAAATGAATCCTCACAAGGACACTTTAATACCAAGTGTGCAAAATTAAAGTGAGGTAAAAGTTTAAGATGACCAGAAAGAATCTTCAATTAATCTGGAAAAATGGACACCCTATGCCCTCCTTTATTCTCATTTTACAAAGAATATTAAGAAATAGAAAAGTATCAAGTGGTGATGGAGCCTAAAATGTAAATCTTCTATTAATTTTTTTCAATGATCAAAAAAAAAAACCCATCACTTCTTACCTTATCTACAACACATGTAAATTAGATGCAGGGGCCAACAGAACCCCAATATGGACTCCCTGAGCCCTTTCATTTCAACAAGGTACTTTATAGAGACCTCTAAAATTAAATACATCTCTGGAAAGTAAGCAAGACGCTACTTAATTTTCCCCTCATAATTACCTTTCAAAGAGACTGTTCTGTTCTTCTTTAAGCTGTTTTTTTCTGAGACATGTAGTAAATAGGAAGAAACTGAGAAGGTGGGGGCGGGGAGTGTACTTAAGTAATGTCAGCTGGTGAGAGAACCGGATGGAATCAAAACCGATGAAGTTTGACCCTAAATATTTACTAACACCCACTAACTGTACTGCGCGTGAGTGGAAAACAAAGCTCATGTGGTACATTTGAAATGTATAGATGAGATTTGTTTTTACGTTAAATGTTTAGATTTTTTTTTTTTTTACATTAAATGTCTAGAGCAGCAAGGCAGGGGGAGGAGAGCTTGCTAGGAGGGAACACCTGTCAAAGATGTATTTTAGCAGCAGCACGAAGAAACAATTGAATGCCAGAATGTTCACTCAACTGACAGATGGAAAAGTTATTTCCTGAGATTCCCTCAGTGTTATGTTATTTTCTTACTTTGTGGTAGTCAAAAGCCACAGATTTTAAAAACACAAATACAAATTTAATATATAAAAAAAAGACAATAGCCAATGGATTTTCAAAACCAGCATGTGTATCCTTAATACTCTTTTGGTGTTTTTATTTATTTCAATATTAAAATTATGGTTATAACAATAATATCATTACCATGGCAAATTTCATACTGTTTATTAACATAATATGTAATAGAGTGAAATTCGAATAATATTTTTTAAAAGGTGGCCTGCAAATATTATTTAAAATGTATTTATAATAAAATTTCAGATATACATTTTATGGTCTCACTGCTCTATATTTTCATATTTTTTATCTTAATTAAAACATAGTGCCGGGCGGTGGTGGCGCACGCCTCTAATCCCAGCACTCGGGAGGCAGAGCCAGGTGGATCTCTGTGAGTTCGAGGCCAGCCTGG